CTTGATGACTGCTATTGTCTTAAACATAACGTCGAATTCACTTAACTCTACTACCCATTTCAGTAGTCTTCTCGAGGCATCCGACTTCTGTAGTACTTGCCTCAAAGGAAAGCTGGTCAAAACATGAATGGTGCATGCTTGGAAGTAGGGCCTCAGCTTCCTAGAGGTTGTGATCAAGGCTAAGTCGAGCTTCTCCATATCGAAATAGCATGTTTTCGGAGATAGGAGTGCCTTGCTGGTGTAATACACGGGAAGTTGGGTGGTTCATTCTTCTCGGGTCAGGACCACACTGATGGCCTCATCGGAGACGATCAGGTATAGTTGAAGGATATCATCAGGCTTTGTCTTGGAGAGGAGGGGGCCTGCCCTAGATGCCGTTTCAAGCCCTGAAAGGCCTCTTCACATTCTTCATTCCATTCGAATTTCTTTCCGACTTTCAATACCTTGAAGAACGGGAGGCATTTATCGATGGCCTTGGAGACAAAGCGGCTAAGGGCTACCACCCGTCCTATTAGGCTTTGGACTTTCTTAGGTTTTGGGGGGATTTCATCTCGAGTAAGGCATTGATCTTTTCAGGGTTGGCTTCGATTCCTCTTTGGTTCACCATGTACCCTAGGAACTTACTAGAGGCAATGCCAAAAGCACACTTGAGGGGGTTGAGCTTCATCTTGTACCTCCTGAGGATTCGAAAAGTGTTATCCAAGCGTGTCACATGGTCATCTGCCTTCAGGCTTTTCACATGCATATCATCAACATAGACTTCCATTGTCTTGTTGATGAGGTTTGTTTTTTATTGTCATACTTGGCCAACCTATGTGGGCCTATGGCCCACTCAATCCAAACCACGTGACACTCAAGCCGAAGTGGACTGAATGGCCGAGGCCCTTTATGCTGAAGCCCATATGCCAAAGTTTGTGAAACTAGCCGAGTACTACATGAGTGGCAAAAGCCTTGAATCCGAAGCCGAAGCAGAAGCCTTCGAACCATGAAGGAACGTCTTCCATGGTCACTTCTCCCAAGAGATCTCCTACATAAAGATCTGGTTAGAATGATTGATGGAACGCCTGTAATAGGTGCATATGTTAAGTCTTATCACTAGTATGGGGGTTCCGCACAAGCAATAAATGCGCAGCAAGCTAGCAAGTCAAGGATGTTGTCTAGAATTGGATGTTTGAATTAAGAAGATGAGGCCACGTTTCACCTCATCTAAGGGCTGTCATTTCACATGTAACACTATATATACATCCTTTGTATAACATTGAAGGACTAATGCAAGAATCAATATAAGGAACCACACTTTACTCTCTCTTTCATATTATCTTGCAACACAATACGAGTTCACACATATTTACATGCACATTCATGAGCACCGATTGGTAATTATTGTACAATCGGATTAAGAACATCCCGTTGGATTTCGAACGTTCTTATCCTGCGTCGTTGAGCCACTCCCACGCCCTTGATTCGTTCGTTCTAGACCGTCCATGTGTCTTAGCGTGTAGGACCTTCGCTCATGTGTATCCGGGTAGGTCCGGTATCTGTTGGCAACACCTTTTGGGGTCAACAGATTGGCGCCATCTGTGGAAAACCATACAATATCCACGAACAACCTTGTGGTGAAAGCTTATTGAAGAACATTTGGGCACCCCCTTGAAAAAGGATTTGTTCTTGAAAAAGAACAAGAGGAAGCCCCACAACTTAGCACAATCTAAAGTCAGACGAAAATAAAATGAGTTCAAATGAAGACGCACCCCCCAGGAGGGCAAGAGAAAATGCGAATGTGCTTTCTCCACCCGCTGCCCCAGCAGCTCGGCAAAGACTCCACCACCACCAAAGAAGAGGTGGAATGCGGGCGACGGCACGACTGTCAAGAGAAATGTCTATCATGGCAGCCAACATGAGGGACATTGCTAGCTAAAACTTGGCTATGAGGGAGCTTATGGCCCAAATGCAGGGCCAGGGAGGCTTCCCCATTCCGCCATACGCCCCTCAAGGGAACTACCAGCAAGATAATGAAGCTCAAAGTCATAGAGCTGCCTCGCCGGACTATAGCCAAGGTGGAATCTCATTTGAAAGGGAAGTGGAAGTTGATGTTTCCTCCAATTACGCTTCTGGCTGACCCACCGAGGTCCCATTGAACCATGATAGCTTCCCACATCCATATGAGCAAGAGCCAAGACATAGGAGGGCAGGCAGTGTATTTGACAGAATTAGCCCCGCTGAACCGAGGCTTAGCAACAGCAGGCTCACCAGCCTTGGACAAGGTCACCGCCTGCACCGCCAATGCCCCAGCTGGAAGAAAGGCGTGAAAATGCCCCCCTATTGCTCCGCCTAGAAATAGGCACCAGATGAGGAAGGAAGAGGCTAGGAATCATCCCTGAACCTCTCACCAACAACCACGGCATGACGTTGATGAATACGATTCAAATGAGCATCAGAGGTCCTATGACTTGGATGATGACGATGATAATTTACCATTCTCAAGGGAACTAAGGAGTGCCTAGGTTCCAAGCCACTATGAATGCCAAAGATACCAAAGTATGACGGAAGAGGCGACCCAGAGAAGTACTTGAATGCTTATAAAACTCACATGAGCCTAAGGGGTGCCACCATAGTTGTGAAATGTAGAGCTTTCCATTTAACACTTAGAGGAGCGGCTGAAATTTGGTATACCAGGTTACCACCTGAGAGCATAAGAAGTTGGCCTGAGTTCAAGACAACATTCTTGAGGTTTGCGGTAAGCAAAGAAGGAGAAGTCCCCATCCAATGTCTCCAAGACATGAGACAAGAACATGGGGAGTCCCTAAAGAGCTTCCTATCTCGCTTCACCGATGAAATGACGTATTGCGTGCAAGTCACCGACCGTGAGACACTATCCGTATTAAGGGGAGGCCTGAACATGAATACCTTATTTTGGAGGGACGTGCAAAATCAAGATCCCACCACCTATGATGCCCTACTCGAGATGATGAGGCGGGAAATCATCAACGAAGAATTGATTGAGCATTGGAACATGGCAAGTAGAGGCTTCCCACCTCCTCAGAGGCAGCGTGCTAGAGGGCCGACTTCCCACCTGATGGACTACCAAATGAACCAGGCTGGAAATGAGAGTTCTGGCCAAGCATTTGCCACCACAACTTTGAACGCAGTTCCTACCTTGGCAAATGTGGATATCAACCTAATAACTAACACCCAGTAGTTAGAAACCCCCAAGGATCTCGTAGGGGGAGAGGTCGAGGCCAAGGTTTAGGACCTAGAAATAGGTCAAATCAGAACCCACCAGGATACTGTGTACACCATAGGTCCTATGGACACAACACAGCGGATTGCTGAGACTTTGCGCATCGCTCCCGGCTGGAACCCCCTAGGGACAGAAATGAATCGCCACAGGCAAACAGGCCCCGTCCAGGCACAACAACCGACGTGGGTGTGAGGAGACTGCTCCTCGTTAAAGGGATGTTTTCCCACAATGAAGGGAGCCTGATACGGAGAAACCCAGGAAAGGGCACAAGCACCAAAGAAATCGACAAGCCCAGAATGAGGCTCCTATCCACGAGGTGGATACCATATTTGGATGCCCGTATGTTGGCGGTGAAACATGAAACTCCAAAAGGAATTACGTCAGGGAGGCTAAACACCCCCTTTGGTAAGCTATATTGTGGACAACATCTCCTAGAGGAACCAAGTTCCACCCATTTTCTTTACCCAGGAGGACGTCGAAGGAGTTCGCTACCGCCATTGCAATGCACTTGTTGTGAGAGTCGTCATAGCCCAAAATGGGCTCAAGCGAATGTTAGTTGACAACGGTAGCTCTATCAACATTTGGTTCAGATCCGCATTTGAGAAGATGATATTGGATCATCAGTTAATGCCCACCACAACTCCTCTGTACGGATTCACTGGAGATAGCATCACTCCAAGGGGAAAGATAACACTTGCAGTGGAGATGGGAGAGTCTCCCCAAACTACGATGAACTTCATGGAGTTCCTCATTATCGATAGTCAATTGACCTACCATGGAGTATTAGGTAGGCAAGCCCTAAAAGAATTGGGAGCAGTCACCTCCATCCACCACCTAGGCATGAAATTCTCGACGAAAAATGGGGTGGCAACAGTGAAAGGTGACCAAAGAGGATCAAGAGAGTGTTATCTAAGCTCCATCAAAAAGGTAGAGCCCCGGGACGTCCATGTAGTCATAGCAGATAGTCATGGATGGCGTCCCAGGTGATGCTCCCACCGAACCAGAAGATATTGATATGATTGATGCACCATCCAATCTGGAGATGTTGGTCATTCATGAGATTGATCCCCGCATAATTGAACACGAACCTCAAGCATCCCCGGTTGAGAAACTTGAGAGCTTCTCGGTAGACCCCCGAGACCCATCCAAGGTGCTGAAAGTAGGCAAGGGCTTATCCAACATTCTGAAGGAAAAGATTAAGGATTTCCTAAGTAGGAACCTTGATGTCTTTGCTTGGCGGCATGAGGACATGGTAGGCATAGACACCAAGGTCAGTTGCCACCACCTGAAAATCGATCCTAAGGTTGCCCTGCACAGACAAAAAAAGAGAGCCCTCAATCCTGAAAGGTACGATGCTCTGAAGGAAGAGGTTCAGAAGCTCATCCAAAATGGCTTTATTAGGGAGGCCACCTATTCGAGATGGGTCTCCAACCCGGTCTTAGTAAAGAAACACAACGGCAAGTGGAGGGTGTGCATCGATTTCACCAACCTCAACAGAGCTTGCCCGAGAGATAGCTTTCCTCTCCCAAGGATTGACCAACTAGTGGACTCCATGACTGGGCACAAGTTGTTGAGCTTTACGGACGCATACTCCGGATACAACCAAATACCCATACACCCGGTCAATGAGGAACACACTTCTTTCATCACAGACCGAGGCCTTTATTGTTATAGGATGATGCCTTTCGGGTTGAAAAACGTCGGAGCAACTTACCAAAGGCTCATCAACAAAATGTTTATGGACCTCATCGGCAAGACAATGGAGGTATACGTGGATGATATGTTGGTAAAGAGTTTGGAGGCTGAGGACCACATAACGCACCTCAACAGCACCTTCCAAATCTTGAGAAGGTATAGGATGAGGCTCAGCCCCCTCAAGTACGCCTTTGGGGTGGCCTTTGGCAAATTCTTAGGATACATGGTCAATCAACGCGAAATTGAAGCAAACCCTGAGAAGATTGAGACTCTATGCACGATGAGGTCCCCCCAGAAACCAAAGGAGGTGCAAAGTCTGACTGGGCAAGTGGCTGCACTTAGCCGCTTCGTATCCAAAGCTACAGACAAATGCCTCCCATTTTTCAAAGTACTAAAAGTTGGGAAGAAGTTTCAATGGAACAAAGAATCTGAAATGGCCTTCCAAGACCTGAAAAGGCACCTGGGGCAGGCCCCCCCTTCCAAACCGAAGCCCGATGAGATCCTACAGCTATATCTGGTCGTCTCCAAAGAGGCCATCAGTTCGGTCCTAACCCGAGAAAAGAGAACCACCCAACTCCCCATTTACTATACAAGTAAAGCACTCATATCGTCGGAAACCCGTTACCCCGATATGGAGAAGCTCGCTTTGGCCTTGATCACGGCTTCCAAGAAATTGAGATCCTACTTCCAAGCTCACACCGTCCATGTGCTAACAAACTTTTCCCTAAAGTAAGTGCTCCAGAAGCCCAATACCTCTGGAGGATTATTGAAGTGGGCAGTGGAGTTGAGTGAATTTGACCTCGTGTTCAAGGTTAGGACAGTCATCAAGGGTCAAGCCTTGGCCGACTTTGTGGCAGAATTCGCCAATTTACCCAAGGTAGATGAAATCATGGAACCCGTCGAGCCCCCTATGTGGAACTTATTTGTTGATGGGTTGGTCGGGGATGCCGACTCAGGTGCTAAAGTTGTCCTCATCAGCCCTGAAGATCACAAGCTAAACTCAGCTGTGAGGTTCGGGGTTCAAAGCCACCAACAATGTAGCAGAATACGAGGCACTACTTGCAGGCATCAGGTTGGCCAAAGAAATACAAGTAAAGAGGCTCCTCATCAGCAGTGAGTCCTAGCTAGTTGTTAACCAGGTCAATGGTAACTTCTCAGCTAAGGACAAAACAATGGCCTCCTACTTGAAAATGGTGATGAACCCCATCCCATCCTTTGAAAAACTTGAACTAACCTAGAACCTTCGTGTTGAAAATGCTCATGTGGATGCACTCTCCAAGCTCGCTAGAAGCAAGGATTCAGAACTACTCATAGTAGTGCCTATAGAGCACCTCCTCCTGCCTTCAACAGAGGCCCCCAATGTGATGTGGGTCGTTGGAACTCCTACCTGGATGCAGCCGATCGTAGCATACCTCAAAGACCAGATACTTCCCACTGACAAGCTTGAGGCCTACAAGCTAAGGAGGAGGTCAACCCACTTCCTCTTTGTTGATGATGTTCTCTACAAGAGAAGCTTCTCCTCTCCACTCTTGCGATGTGTCGGAGAGAAAAAGCTAATTACATATTAAGAGAAGTCCATGAGGGTGTGTGCGGCAATCACTCCAGAGGTCTATCTTTGGCACAAAAAATATTGAGGCAGTGGTACTACTCGCCTACCCTGAAAAGGGACGCCCTTGAGTTTGTACGAAAGTGTGACAAATGCCAACGATTCTCTTTGGTACAAAGGCAACCGTCACAGGATTTGACTGCGGTCTCCAGCCCTTGGCCTTTTTCGAAGTGGGGTGTGGACCTCATAGGTCCTCTACCTAAAGGTAGAGGAGGTGCAAGCTTTGCAATTGTGGCCATCGATTACTTTACAAAATGGCTTGAGGCTGAACCATTGGCAAAAATTATAGAAGCAAACACTTCCAAGTTCTTATGGAAGAATATTATATATCGATTCGAGATTTCCTATTCAATCGTCTCAGACAATGGTAGACAATTCGACAACAAGAAGGTCAGAGCACTATGCAAGGAACTCGACATCAAGAAGCATTTCTCCACGCCTCACCACCCACAAGCAAATGGCCAAGTTGAGGCTGTCAACAAAACGATCAAACACATCCTGAAAAAGGAAGCTTGATGTGTCAAAAGGGGCTTGGGTGGATGAGCTACCACAAGTACTTTGGGCAATCCGAGCCACCATGAAGACCCCAACCGGGGAGACACATTTCCTCATGGCATATGGTACTGAGGCGATGAGCCCAGTCGAGGTTGGACTCCCGTCCCCAAGACGTTTACATTTTAGTGAGATGACAAACGATGAGCTTTTGAGGTGCGACCTCGACTTCATTGAAGAAAGAAGAGATGACTCCCAGTTAAAGCTCGGCAATATCAAAGGAAAATGACGAAGTACTTCAACTCAAAGGTAAAGAAGAGATCGTTCTGAATCAACGACTTGGTCCTAAGGAGAGTCTTCCTCTCCTCAAAGGAACCTGGTTCTGGTTCCCTAGGTCCAAACTGGGAAGGCCCATATAAAATCAGGAAAGATATTCGGCCTAGGACTTACTGGATTGAAGACATGAACGGCAAGGCACAACCCCATCCATGGAACATCGAGCACCTCAGAATCTATTACCAATGAGTGTACCGCCTCGCTGGACAATCTTTCCTAGCTCATGTAACATTTCTATGGTTCAATAAAATACTATGATTAAATTAACGTGTTGCATTACTTCTTCACCTTGGAGGAGAGGCCAAGGTCCCATCTCTGGGCCACCTCGCTTGAACTCCGAGGTGCATGAACTTGCCTCCCCTTGGCGAGGCTGAACGCTAAGGGGAGAAGCCTCAATAAGGCTGCACCATCCACGATGTTGGGAAGCGTCGTCACCTCGAAGGAGAGGCCAAAGTCCCATCTTTGGGCCACCTCGCTTGAACTCCGAGGCGCATGAACTTGCCTTTCCTTGGCGAGGCTGAACGCCAAGGGGAGAAGCCTCAACATGGTTACACCATCCATCATGTTGGGAAGCGTCGTCACCTCGGAGGAGAGGCTAAGGTCCCATCTCTGGGTCACCTTGCTTGAACTTCGAGGTGCATGAACTTGCCTTCCCTTGGCGAGGGTGAACGCCAAGGGGAGAAGCCTCAACATGGCTTCAGCATCCACCATGTTGGGAAGCATCGTCACCTCGGAGGAGAGGCTAGCATCCCATCTCTGGGCCACCTCGTCTGAACTCCGAGGCTAATACACTTGAATCAGAGTAATATTCCTAGTTTAGCTACAACACTGTCCATGTTTAGGATCCCTTCAGGTTACAGTCATTAACCTTAAGTACCATTCATTTGCTTAAGTCCAATATTGGTCATAACTCGTGAGGCTTGCATACAATTTATTTGTTCAAGTGATTGGAGTTAGGATACCCAATTAAAGTTATTCAGTTCTTCAATCAACATTACGTTCAATTACTTAATGAGGCCAACACACTTGAGAGAAAGAAATAACATTGAACGAAAAAGATATTATATTGATTATCAATTGAGATTACAAAAGGAGGGCCTGAGGCCAATACATCGTGAATAACTGAAAAGAAAACTATCCTAAGCCTGAGAAGATGATAGAGGTGCTTCAGCAGCTGGGACTTTCGTAGCTTGAGCATCAGACATTGCTTCTTCTGCCTCTGCTACTTTATCTTCCACCACTTCATCAGCTGGGGTTTGAGGTACCTCGTCCACAAACTCTGACCTGACTTGCGACAGGTCCTGATTGGGATACAACTCCTCAGCCCGCTCCACTACCTCGGTGTAAGCAAAGTTCCTCCAATAAGTACTGAAGCTCTTGTACTCTTCGGTGTTATGAAAGTTGGCAATATAGTCCCTCAAAGCCTCTTCCTTTGCCTCTTGGGCTTCCTCCCTTGCCTTGGTGGCATCATCCACATACCATTTGATTTGGCCTTCCAAGAAATGGTATGCCTCTTGGGATGATGCCAGTGCCAAGTTTGCATTCTCCAAGGCTTCGGCGGTCACCTTCTGGTGATCATTGGAAACCTCTACCTTTTTAGTTAAGGAGGCAACCTCACACTGGGACTCATGTACCTCCCTTTTCAATGCCTCTATCTGGGCCAAGGCAGACTCCAACTCGACCGATTCTTCAAGTTTTTGGGCCCTAAATACCTCAGCCTCGGCCCTTGTCGTCTTAAGCTCATCTACAAAGGAGGCTATCTTCCTGTCTGAGGCGATGGTCCTCATCTGGAAGTCAGTAAGGGCCTCCTTGCATTCCAGTGCAAGGCTAAAAAGTCCTAACACTTTGGCTCACAAGAGCCCTTGTCAAGTCCGTGGCATCACAGGAGGAGGCATACAACTACCATCGATCCGTCTAGAATTTATAAAAACTCTTAGTAGCGCCTCGGATCTTAGGTGGCAGGGCCTCCACCAAAGCTGGGGCCAAAGGCTCCTCCCTTCCGGCAAGGAAGCTCGAAGACTTCCCTTGCACTCGAACAGGCCTTTGTTTGGCAGCCTCCTCCTCAGTCGCCTCAGCTTTTCTCCTTGCAGCCTCTTTCCTCCCCTCTTCAGCCTCAGCGCGCCTTACCATTTCAATCTTAACCGCTTTCAAGGCGGCTTCCAGTAGCTTTAGCTGCCCGGTTTCTTTGCCTTCATGGGACATTGAAGTCCCAAACTTGCCAGATGAACTGGAGACATGCACCAACTTCCTCTTCTTTGGCTCCTTAGGGACTTTCTCTTTCCCCCGAGGCTCCTTGGGCTTGTCTTGCCTCTGGGAGGTCCCCTCTTCGAAAGCTTGTGAGGTGCTGTCCTTGGAAAGACGTTCAACTCTACCTCGGACCTCCTTGGCGCCACTTAACCTTGGCTTTAGGGGCCTCGCCTTCACAGTGGAAGTTGCCCTCAGTATGGACGCCATGTCAGGAGCTGGGTACTCCTTCCTCTTAAACTTATCTGCAGAACACAATGCGTCAGTACCAAAATTAAAACACAAAAATATACAAGTGTGGGCGCTTCATACCCCTGGATGCCATCAGTTCGAAGTCAAGGAAATAGCAACTTCTATCGATGAGGTGATCAAAGTGGCAAAGCTTCAGAGCTCTCTTGTAAATGTCCTCTATCACTTCAAACTCCTTGCTGTTTAGCTTGAACCTCGTATTGCTATCTGCAAAGGACGCCTCAACAGTTAGAAAAATAAATTTTTTGATAAATATTACAAACTTAGGCTAGGAGACTCACGAGCTTCGTAGTACTGGGTCGATACTGTGCAAGACAAGGTTTTGTCTCCCTCCACCGCTTGCCACCTGCCCTTCACCTAGAACCACGACTCCTTCCACTCCTTTATGGAAGAAGGCAGCCCCACCACAAAAGGTGCATGGCCCCCCAAGGAGTCAAGTAATACCACCTCTTCGACTCTTTACCTATTACCCTAGACTGGATTAGGGTCATGAAGACGTGGAGAGGCATGTCCTCCCCTAGCGACACTTTCTTCCACAGGAAGTACGAGTCGACCAACTGGCTCCACCCATTTGGCAGAACCTAGGTCGGCGACAACATGAAATTCCTCAGCACAGCCCTGAAGAAGGGGTGCAGAGGAAGATGCAAACCTACCTTAAACAAATATTCGCTCGCCGCCACGCACCCCGGCCTCGGATAACAGGCTCGTTCATGGGCCTCAGGCACTAACATCTCCACATAATGAGCTACACAGTACCTCTCCCTTATCTCCCCCAACCTCTTCGACGTCATATTCGAAGGGACTCTAGATGCCTCCCACTCTACATTGTAATCTACTTCCTTCTCGGTCATAGCGATCTGCTCAACCTCGAAGTCTCCCTTGTAACTAGAACCCCGACCAAACAATGCGAGAGTGACCAACTCCCTACTCGAAGTCGACTCTATCCCAGAAAGAAACTAAGAACACAATAAAAGGAGGATTTTCTATGAAAAATAACTACTGAAAAACTTCGCGACCAGAAAGTGCCGGAAAAAACACGTCAGAATGTTTCAGTTCTAAGAGAAGAAATCAAATTGCAAGTGCTGAAAAATCCAGAAAAATGGGTTTCTCTCGCCTTTTATAAAGGGTCAGGATGAACCCCCACCGTTAGATCGAAGCTCAATCAATCTAGACCTTTCATTTTAAATCAAATCTGAGGTGTAGAAGTCAAACGATTTTTCAAACCTACGCCTCTAATTTAAGTGTGTTCCCCACGCACCTCAGCCAACGCGTCTGCTTCTAGAAGCTCCAACTGTTCTAATAATTACGATTTTAATTCAATGGCAGCAGGCGCCTTGGAAGTTGCACTGGTTTAGCCAGCTTTCCTCGAAAACATATGCAAAACATCAAATCATTGGCACAACTGCTAAGGAACAATTATTGTCAACCAACCACCTTCGCTTCATCCTCAACGTTCAACCATCAAGCCTCGCAGGTTTGGTTTCCCAACCACCTCGGCTTCATCCTCAACGTCCAGCTATCAAGCCTCGTAGATTTGGTTTCCCAACCACCTCAGCTTCATCCTCAACGTCCAGCCTTCATCCTCAACGTCCAGCCATCAAGCCTCGTAGGTTCGATTTCCTAACCACCTCGGCTTCATCC